CAATCATCGTCGATTATTCTTTTCATATTCGACTGTGATTGATTAATTTTCTACGACTCAAGACTCTACGACTTCTATTGTAGATCCCGCATTAGTCTTTTAGATCGAGAAAAGTTTTTATTTCCATATACTTACCGTTTTATTACTCGTGGACTCTCGAACTTGCCACCATTTGCTATGCGTCATTTACGCGAGATCTGTTTTCTGTAGCTGAACTAGTGCACACCGGTGCTTGCACTGCTTACACTGCCTCAAGACCTAGTGCAGCCAGTTCGGTGAACTCGTGCACTGAGTTCTGTTGCACTGGAACAAGAAACACTGTCGCTGACGCCATTTTGGGTACAGAAAACGCTTTAGTATACACTTTTTGAACTAGTGCAACCAGTGCAGGAACAGAAAACAAACCTAAAATTATTGACAATACGCGAGTTTCTCACCATTGACAAGATAGCAGACAAATTGAATATTTCTGATTTATTTATGTCTATATAATTTGAGAATCGTTTGGGGAAATTTGGGAAAAGCATTTAAACATTTGGGAAATAGTATTTTTCTTGTAATTAACAAATTTTATCAAGTTAGCAGACGATTTTATTTAATGTGTTTTATGAATGGAATCGATTAGAAATTATTTGGGGAAGACGTCTTCATTATTATTTTCATTTGGGAAAAATTACTATTTGGTAATTCAGGGAGCTTTCCAGCAAGAGGCACAAATTGACACAAGAGTCATCCTGTCCTTGTTCAATAATCAGTAAGAAACAAAGACAGAATGACTCTTGTATCGATTGTGCCTCTGCTGGAAAGCTTCCTCAATAGATTTATACATTACGAAAACGAACAAAGCCCGGGTGTAGTATGGGTGTAGGATGGGTGTAGTAGGTATAGTACAATGAGGGCCAACTGTCACCAAGCTCAGTTGATCTAACTAGGACAGTTAGTCCATCGAAATTGACCAATCGCATTTGTCATTTTGTTTGAAGAATTGACAGATTGGTCAATTCCGATGAATTAATCCGGCCCAGTTAAGTTAACTGAGCTTGGTGACAGTGGTGGCACAGTTTATATATGGTTAAACTGTGGTGGTGGCCTTGAATATAGTAAACCTAAAATCGTCAAAAATTAATCAATTAAGCCCGGATCTAATTATGCGTAGTAAGAAATTATGTGTAGTAAGAAAAATCAACTTAATCATAAAC